ATAGTGATTTTAATCACTGTCAGATATCATTATACTTGATCCAACTATGCCACGTCACCACTGTGCCGCGACCCCCCTGTGCTGGGTTTTTTTTAAATATTAAAAATCAGAATCAGTCATAATTTGAAAACAATTTTTTTTTGTTTTAAATTTTTTTTTATAATAAATCAATTCAAAAGAAATATTAATTATTTCTATGTAACTCTTGGTGTTAAAATAAATGATACAATTGAAATATTCAGAACTATTTTTCTTAAAGTCATATCCTATAGTTTTTTACTAATTAGCAATAATTAGTGATCAAATATTTTAAACTATNTACATATCAATATAATTTTTTTTTATATAGATGCATAATATTATTACCTTTCATTTGGTATATTTTTTTTGTAAATTTAACCCTTAACCTGCCCACAAGGGGGATTTAAAATGACTACTTTTTCACAAAAAATTAATTTTTTTAACTTAAATTTTGAAAATGTTCCGGAAGGTCTGACACTTTTATATATATCTTAAATTAAAGCTAATGTAATATGCTTTATCATGAAAAAAAAAAATTTCGGACTTTATCTTATCTTCATGGTGAAAATGGCTACCGAATGCTATTTTTGTGTGAAAATTTTCGATTTTGTATTTTCCATTTTTAACTTTATTATGCTATAACTTTTTGAAAAATGTATGAATCATTACAATTTTTTTATGAGAAGTAGTATTTATATAGATCTTTCATTCGACATACTGTTTTTNGAATAGTTTATTTTTAGCATAAACTATCGAATAGTTTAAAAACTATTTGAATATTTTTTGAATCACTATCGAATAGTTCGATAGTTACTATTCAATATTTTCCATAATTAGTAATAATATCAAAAATTATTGGTGATAGAAAACGTATGATTGCTGATTTGAAATTAGCACGACAAATTGAATAATGAAAGTATCGTTGGGAAAAATCGTTCCAATGAGATCTGAGATAAGTAGTAACAGGCACAAAAAAAATGAACACGTGGTAAAATGAATACATTCTCAGTTTCGCATCTAAGCTAAAAACTGAATGAAAAAATTATGGCATGGGATACCTGAAAAAGACCCTCAAAAAATTCATCTGTAAGTTTGAAGATTTACAACAATTTCTCCACCAAGATTAATCATTAGATACATTAGAATTAAATTCAAAAAATTATATTTGAAAGGTTTAATACTTTTGAATTTTTTTATAAGTTTAGCCAAAGAATTGGAATGATCATGAATGGTACATTGAAGGCAAAAAGAGTTGTAGAATAATAGCAGAACGAGGAGTTAAAGTTATGATGGAATGTAACGAAAACTTCACAAAAAAGAACAAAAGCAATTTATTTTGCAAATAAATAAATAACACTTTTTCCCTACATTTAAATTTTAGTGTTTAATTATCTACAATTAATTAAACAAGAAATTAATAATTATTTATTGCAATTGTTGTTAAATATTTAAGGAATACATTTAATATTTTAATAATATAGACTTTGTTGTGATGAATATGCTGAAATTATAAATAATGATAGGTGTAGCCCAATTAATTGACAATTTTACTATAAAATAATAAATTTTGACGAAATTTTATAATAACAAAATTAAAATAACAACTAAATTTTTTACATCATATGTTTAGATGTATTAGAACAAATTTGGGTGTCTCATCTAAAATATTTTGAAAATAAAATCGTACTTCTATAAATTAGTAAAACCCTAATGAAGATAAATTATATTTTAGAAAAAATGTATATTTTTTATAAGCAAGTAGTCTTTAAATGAATTTCAAATTAATGATACATAATACAAAATAAATTGTTTTTTTTAATCATAATTTCGATTGATTTTAATACTCAAAGAGCATTTTAATTTCAATAAATATTACAAAAATTAATTACCTGGAATGATAAGCAATTATACCTCCATTTTGAGCTATTTTAAAAATCGGCGACTTGCATGGTATCATATCAGCAACGCTCGGAATCAATATTGTACTACAACGATGACAACTTTAAACATATGTTAACAATTAATTAGTCAAGTATTGTTTTTTCAACAATAATTTTAGTAGTGTGTGTATTTTTAAAATCCTGAAAATATATAAATCACTCAGACCCGCTTTATACCTATTTAGGATCCAGAGTCCAGATTTTTTAATTCACCCCAAGAATAGTCGCTCCATAAAAACTGTAGATAATGATTTTATTGTAACATAAATAAAAAAAATTCACTCCAAACGCCAAATTATTTCCCAAAACTTATCTCTAGAATCGCCTCTAACTTCTTGTACCCTATGAGTAATGCTTCCCAAAATAAGATTTTTTTTCTAAAAAATATCCCCTTTAATTAAAAACTTTAACAAAAATAATGAAAAAAACCCTATAATTCTCTTCTGTATCCACACCTGATCAAATGTATAAATGTATAAATTTTAAAGAGTGCATAATAAGTAATTTTTTTTTATTTTTCATACTTAGATTTTATTAAAATTAAAATGTTTATATTTTGGCAATTTGATTTTTAAAAAATTATAGGAAACTCCTCCATAAAATACGTTTAAATAAGCTATAATGACAATATTTTCCTAACTTATTTCATGAGATTGAATTCCGAGTAATAAACGAATTTAAAAAACACAAAATACAATTTTGCTAACCATCACTCCAAAATGTATTATGTGGATACATATATGTTATCGACTCTCCCCATTAAAAAAAATATGTGTTGCTCTTGATGTGATTGCATCAAACATTTTATAAATTTATACCATTAACATAAACTGAAATACTTAATAATAAACTTACTGAAAAGCATAAGCAAAGGTACTGTAGTGTCCAAATTCTTTTTTTGGATTGCTTTTAAATAAATCTAATATTAGCTTAGTATATAATCGTGATTTCAATTTATCCCTTACATCTTGTAAATTTTCAATATCACAGTTACTAAATTGATTAGAAAGTCTGTACAACAAAAAATATAAAAAAAATAATACTATATATTTTTAAAATTACAATATGCAGAGTTGATACTTATATATTTTCAAGGATAGATAATGTATATAGTAAGACTAAATTAATGAACTCTGATGAAATAATGAAAAATTATTTGAATAATAATCATAGGCGCAATGAAGAAGCTTAGCATATTCAATAGGAAAACTAGCCTCCTTCTAAGAAGTAAATAATAATACAAATTTAGACAGTTATGGATATTGTCATAAAAAAATATATTTATAATGTGAGGAAATACTTTACCATCCTCAATAATTGTATTCTAATTTTATAACTAAAATTTGTTTAAAATATATTACTGCACATAAACTAAAATGTATTGTAGCCCATTAATATTTATCAAATTATTTTATACTAAAGGGAGAATACATTGCCCTAATTTTCTGTTTATCTTTTAAAATAGAAATCTTCTCAAATTATCTAAATTCTACATTTATTTATATTGAATTTAGATATTTTTATATAAGTTTTAAAAACTATATGTACCTCTTCCCCATACAAATTTTATAAATGCTTCACTGATCCTTTACATGTCTCTGGTTTTATAAAATACAATATCAATTCTTATTATAAAACATTTATTATAACCTACAAACCTTGTAATTATTCCATCATTAATACAGCTAAAACTTGATGACGATGATAATACATTATTTATGTTATATTTGCAAAAATTTAAACATTCTTGAAACAACGGCTCCATTTGTAGAAATGACGCAGAAACTAAAATTGGAAGTACATTTCCGCAATCTTGAAATAAAATCCAATTTTAATAATAAATATTCATATGATTGGTTATACTATAATGAAAATACAATCTATTTAATTACCTAATATTGGCCAGTCAATTTTTGGCTTTAAATCCTTTTTAACCCATTTAATTAACCAGTCGAAAATTGGTATTTCACAGTGAACAGATATATCAATATCTTCTAAACGTTGACCTTAAAAATAATGAATAAAATAAAAATCATATTTATTTAAATTAATTCGAGGTTATTTTTAATTTATTTGTCAAAAAAATGTTTAGCAAAATTATTTATTAAAATAAAACGACATTTAATTATTTTATTAATTTGTTACAGCTTGATCCTCAATAAGAAAATCTTATTATTTAGCAATACTCTAGCGTAATTCCATGGGGATATAGAGGTAACTTTTGAATGTCTAATAGAAACCTAAAATTATTTTTAAACAATTAGATTAAAAGTGATCTGAATAAAATTTTAACAGGTCAATAACCAGTTTTATTATATTTATTTTTGAAATATTAGCATTTAAAAATTTAGACAAGGTGAGATACATTATAATGTTCAGCCGTGCTATATTTTTACATCAACACAGATAATGTGGGTTGAATATTGGGTACCCGTCTCGCCAATATTTAAAATTTACATTAACCCTAAAGGTCATTTTACAAAACTAGTAATTCACTCTACAAAATTTTATATAGTCCATTTTCCTTTTAATATCGATATTATATGTATGATTATACAAATAATAATAGGTTCCCATTTAACTTTCGAAAATCATCCCTAATTAATATTTACTATAGTTCATAAAAATTAAACAAATTTTAGTCTGTAATTTTTTATGAAAAAAATAGGAGTAGTATTCTTAATAAATCACCTGAATACAAATTTTTCTTGGAACCTACCTTTGGTAACTTCAGCAAAATAACCCATTTTCGAAACAAGGAGTCTCTTAGGGCATCTAAATATTTTTTTAGTTTTCTGAACAGCATCACAAACGTTAATTTCAATCTCAGAACTAAATTGTTTTTAATACCATAATTAATATTCATTGATTGTGTAATCAAATTCTTACGTGTTACCTATATACTTACTCTCCTCTTGATCTTATAATATTTTCATTCAAATATTGTGACCTTTGTTTTACTCCCATTTTTTCCTTTGTTGTTAACGTATTATTAACTTTTGAATCTATGGATTCTAAAGTTTTTTTAACGTTTGAACTCAAGCTTTTTTTTACCATGAATGGAAGAATTGAATCTAAAATACCTTCATTCATTATTTCTTTGAGATTGTATTGTAATACTGATTGAACTTTTTCAATATGTTCACATTTTATTGCAAGTTTTCCAGAATCATCTTTTTTTGACGATAGAAGTCTTAAGAATAAATTATTTTGAGCTAATTCAGTCCAATTAATAGATTTTTCAGGCAATGTATTATAACCATCGATAAGATACTCATTGACACGATGTGCTATTATTAAAAAATCTAACAACTCTTGAACATTTATTATCTGATTATCTTCACAATAATCTTGTATAGCTGTATTAACATTATTTTTTTCTTCAGCTGATAAATTCATAACTCATACAACAAGAAATTACATATTTGCTTTTTTGATTATTAATGCCAGCAAATTAGTATCATATTTACAAATTATTTCTTAATAAAAATAATATAACATCACAAAATCTAAAAATATTATTACAGTAGTCCATAAATAACGATCTAATTAAAAATCATATATTTTGATAAAAGAAAAACATTGGTAAAAAATTAATGATTCCTAACTTGTTTGTTGCTATAACAACAGATTTCACTGAGGTATTGCAGCCATAATATTAAAAAATATTTAATCTACTGAAATATAAATTTATTTAGTTACCTAGAAACGGATTAAAAATATTATTATATAACAGCTGGTACAAAAACAAAACTTTAATTTTTAATAGTGTCATGTATACTTGTTACAACAATTCTTTTTAAAACAAATTTTTGTTAGAAAATAATATTCTAAAAAATAATTTATATTATTTTTGGTTTTTATAATTTTTATATTCAACATTTTTTAAAAGCTATTGCTTGTACTATAGTGATGAGATTAAATAGTATATAGTATGTCTTAATCAAAATATTGTCTCTCATTAAATATCATATTTATCTAAGCAACCAAATAATAATAATCATAAAAAATCAATTAAAAATATAAATTATTTAATTTGAGTAATACATACAATAACTTTAATAATTAAAGTTGTTTAATATTGTTTAATAATAATTATTAATATTAAACATACATAATACACCAATTTTTAAATACCGCCAATATCTATATTGAAAATTTGTCACTAGAGTGCAGTAATAATATTACCTAGTTATGATAATGATAGTTTTCCCCCGACCGGCTATCACATTATGTATGTCGATTGACATCTATCGTATGACGTTCCCTCTTTCCTATCTCAACTCTTGTACGCTCAAAACTTGGCTTGCGAACCAAAGTCAAGTCAACCTCTATTTTCATTCCGCTCCCAAAAAGTTGTTACCTAAATTCTCATATATTATTTATTATATTTAACTTTATTAATCAAATTGTTATAAAATGTTTTCAAAAGTAATCAATACCGTCATCCAACAAAGTGCCAGGCAATATTCTTGCAAGGTAAACTAAAAATCATATTTTTCTTGTTCATAATTTACGAATTTTAATTTAATCAAGGTACTTCATTATGAGATTAGTAATTTATATTTTAGATATCTGTAATATAGATATTTTCCATTACTAATGCCAAAATTTTAGTAAAATTTCCTGGATTCATTTTATTATTTAGCTTGGTTAAAATAAAACATGTGTTATAAGAAAAATTCTTTTAAAATGTTGTAATAATTTTTTTATCTGATACTAATTTTTATTGTTATATAATTTCAAATATAGAAATTTAAATATTCTAGTGTATTCAACTATCGTACATAACTAAATTAACCAAAAATACTCGTTAGCGATGATTGATCTATTTCATTTATATTTATATTTATTTTAGTTAAAATATTTAATTCATAAAGTTACTAAGTATATAATATTTAATTTTTTTCAGAATGGATTAAAAGTTACAGTTTGTGGAGGATCTGGTGGAATTGGCCAACCACTCTCTTTGCTTTTGAAACAGAGCCCTATTATCAAAGATTTAGCCATTTATGATATTGCTCCTGTAACACCAGGAGTTGTTGCAGATTTGAGTCATATGGATACAAATTCAAATGTTACCAGTCATGTTGGTTTAGATAGTCTTAAGGTAATAATTTAAAATAAACTTATATTTTTGCAAAACATTAAGTTAGTGAAATCTATAATACTTAATTATAATTTATATAATTTCTTTATATCTGATATAGTTACTTTTTAAATATTAAAAACAATATGTAATGTAATGTGTTTTGAAATATTAATTGGTGTTTATCAGTTTTAATTATGAAATCTATAATTAATAAAATTCATATTTGTTGCCAATGATTTACTTTTCTTGGCAATGGAAAACAAATGATCCAAAAATATACTCTATTTTTTTTCAAGGTAAATTAAGAATAATAAACATATTAATAAAGTATTATTGAAATACTACTTAAGTTTTTTATGAATATTTTCCTCTATAAAACTTCTTTGGATATATTGAATAGATCAAATATGACTAAATTAATGTTTAAGATGTAGAGAATATTGCTAACTGTATTTTAAAGGAAAAAAATATTGAATGTTTAAAATCATGATATATTTAAACTAGATTGATCCTTATTTATATATTTATTATATGAAATTTTAAGATCAAAACCTTGACTTAAATTTGTCCAAATGACTTCAACTTTTATACTCCTGAACAAAATGGAGAAGGTTTTTCCTAAAAAAATTTAATACTATGAAGATTCTTTGCAGTATTGATTAAATATTAATACTTTGTGTTAATGTTTTACATTATTACAGTGTATAATATAATATATTTTGGATTACCTTAAATAATTACTACAGCGCTATCCATCAATCTATACAAAAATTTATTGGGATCTAATTTACAAGTGAGCGGTGGAATGATTCTATAATAACGGAAAAATAGGATTTAATCCTCTTCCTTTTTTTTACATTATTTCCAGTACACACTTCAAGATAGATCATAATTTTCTGGTTGCAAATTTATATAAAATATGTTTATTAATTTAATTTATAAAAATTAAGTATTAAAGGGTCACAATTTTTGTCATAAATATTTTTTTTATAATAATTATATTGAATTATTTAATATTTAATTATTTGACATTTTCATTACATAATATCAATAATGCAATATATTTTGGTATTATATGTTACTTATAGGATGCTGTTGCGGGCACTGATGTAGTTATTGTTCCAGCTGGCATCCCACGTAAACCAGGCATGACAAGAGATGATTTATTCAATACTAATATTTCAATTGTATGTGATATTGTTAAAGTTGTTGGTCAAGTTGCACCCAATGCTCTTGTGGGTATTATATCAAATCCAGTAAGTCATGATTTATGTATTAAATAATTTTTCATTTACAATATTTTAATGCGCGTAAAAATATTTGACTTTAATTTTAATTGTAAAAAATAAAAAAAATTTTATACTTTCAAATTTAAGGAAAATCTTTTTAAAAAAAGTTGTGACATAATTATATTGAAATTTTAAAGTTTGATAAAATTTAATTATTGAAAAGTACCAAAAAGTAAACAAAACTATTAAGTTAAAGACTTTTAAAAAAATTATTATTTAACTAAATATTACAAATATTTACACATTTTTTACTTTAACAACTAATTACTCATAGAAAATTTATTGGGATGTATTTTTTTAATCTTAAAGTAAATTTTTAAAGCTTAATATTGTTATAGGTTTAAAGAGTTTCAAGCCGGGTAATATCTTTAATTTGATATGTTTTAAATTCTTTTGAATTTTTAGTTACTAATACTTAGCATTTAATGCTAAGTATTAGCAGCTAAAATACTGAAATACTGAAATTTAATAATTTAAAGAATTTATACTTCAATAAATAGAATCAAAAAATATTTGTATGAAAAATAAAATTTCAATATTACCACCAGTTTGAGAGGCATGCATATGGGCATATAGATTTTTTGAAAAACAACATCCTTTTCCAAATCTAGGTCTTCTTATTTTTCTACAGTCTATATTTGAAGTTATTATACTATCCATGTATTCTGAAGAAGTCACCTAATACATGCAATACTCTGACTAAGTATTTATTTTCTACGTGTAGCTCTTCTTTATATAATAAATATATTCCATGCAATTTTCAATTCTATTATTGATTCACTCTTATTATCTGTTAAAATGATAATTCAAATTCTCATGAATTGATGATAAACCTTATAGTTTTAAATGAAATAACCACTAATTTTGACATATATATGAAAGCAAGCAGTCCAACATTTTTTTAAAAATAATTCAATATAATTTTTAGTTACTTAAGGAGTTTAATCTATAATTATTAGGTTAATTTAGTTAAATTTACACCAATATATTTTGAAATAATTGTAATTCGCATTTATATTTTTCATATTGATGGTTAGTTTTGGACAAATTATGCCCATAGTAATTTTTTTTATTGCTTTAAATGAATAAAAAAAACTAGGAGCAAAAAATAAATTTTCATAATATAAAATATTATAATGATGGTAGAAAGAGTAAAAATTATAAATCAATTATTTCAAATGAAAATATTTCTAATTAATTGATCATAATTTTTTTTTAATTCACTATTTAAATTTTTTCAAAGTATGAAATTAAAATAAAAAATATTAAATTTTTATTAAATTATATCCTACACTAACAATTATTGACTTATAAAAATAATTTGTTCTAAATTTTAGCATATTATATTTTATTGTAGTGTGTCAACAATTTTTGTATACAATTTTTATCTAAGTCAAATTTGTTGAATGTTTTTAGGTTAACAGTGCTGTTCCAGCTGCTGCTGAAATTTTAAAGAAATTGAATGTTTATGACCCAAAAAAATTATTTGGTGTGACTACTCTTGATATTGTTCGCTCAAATCGTTTTGTAGCTGAGTTAAAGGTACTATTAATTTAATCTTATTGTAAACATTTTCTTTATTTTACCTGTAATAGGGTCTTCATGCTACTGAAGTCAATGTACCAGTAATTGGAGGACATTCAGGTGTTACTATTATTCCCTTAATATCTCAAGCCACACCACATGTATCTTTTGAACCTGATGTTCTTGACAAATTAACAAAGCGTATTCAGGTAATAAAAATATACTATAATTTAATGTTCATTATTAATAATAAATTATTATCTCTTTTTTAGGAAGCTGGAACAGAAGTTGTAAAAGCCAAAGCTGGTGCTGGTTCTGCTACTTTATCCATGGCCTATGCTGGTGCAAGATTTACCATATCCATGTGCAAAGCTATTCTTGGAGAACCAAATGTTGTTGAATGTGCTTATGTTCAATCTACAGTAACAGATTCTCCATTTTTCAGTACACCTGTTCTAATTGGAGTATGTGAAGTTTATTAATATTCAAATATAATTTTTGTAGCTTATCTACAAATTGTTTTTTTTTTTTTAGAAAAATGGAATTGAAAATAATTTTGGCTTGGGTAAATTATCAGACTATGAAAAAGAATTAGTTAAAGCAGCTCTACCTGAATTAGCTTCCAACATTAAGAAAGGAGCAGACTTTGGAAAAAACTACAAATAAATTAAGGTTTTCAGTTCTTTAAGTTGTTATAACTCAATTCATTATTTATTTTTGTACTTCTAATCTACACAATAGCATTAATTATATATAATTGATAAAAATTGTTAGACTGTACTTGTTGCATATTTTCTTAAAAGAAAAACTGTTTTCTAAAAATACTTTAAAAACTCTATTGACATAAAATGAATAGTAGTCATTGCTTTTTTAATTTTCTTATATAAATAAACCTATCTCTAGATAATGTTAAATATAAGTATATTCAATTTTATTGAAAATTATATAAATTATAATCAATAAAATAATAAATATTTTGCTGTGAATAGATGGGTTAAAGCTGTAGCATTTTAGTAGTTTTACTTTGAATAAATAATAAATTGTGTAATAAGTGGTAACATTTTGATTATTTTTTCTTTATCTTTAAGTATTTTGGTGAACACTAATAATAGTATGAATAAAATAATAACTATTTAATTTTTTTTAATTATAAGATCTAAGACTGAGAATTTTTAATATTTTTTCATGATCGATTTTGTAGATAAATGGGGTGACCTCCATAAAATATTTTTATGAAGGTCACTATCCCACTAACCCTCTAATTTCAGTGGAAATACAGGTAAAACTAAATTACTATAATTTGGTATGAAGAACAAACGATGGATCTACATATCAATACACTATATTTATTTTAATATGAAAATGCGTATTATTTCACTATGAAGAGTAATTTATAACAAAAAATGTTAAGATTTATCATTTATAATAAATTAAAAATTACAATTTAGGTTGATAATTTTACTGTTTCTATTAAATCATATATACCAATTGTATAATATAATTGTACAAAAGCTATACTTTCAAGTTGTATAAATCAATCGAATAATTTTTTTATAAAATTATTGCAAATTATATTCTTTAAAAACATTTCCAGCAATTACGAGCCTTTGTATTTCAGAAGTACCTTCATAAATTTCAGTTATTCTAGCATCACGATAATGTCGTTCAGCAGGCATATCAGATACATATCCCATACCTCCCAAAATTTGAATACATTGATGAGAATTAAATGTAGCTGATTCGGACGCTGCTAATTTCGCCATTGCAGCTTCCTAAAAAAATAACATTATTCAATAGATAAAACATAGATTATTTTAAACAACTAAGAAATTATCTTAATATAAATAACTACATAAAGAATGTAGTAAAGAAAAAGTGCTATTATCAAAAATGTATTTTAATTAAAATACATACGATAGTAATACTTTAAGAATTACTACAATATAAAACTTTTTGTCAAAAATAAATCAATACCAAGTACAAAATAATATTTTTTGTTCACAATACTATGTATAGATTTTAACTTAAAAAGAAATTAACTTATAATTTTGTATTATTATGGCGAAAACTGTCACCTGAATTTTGTGGTTTTGTATGATGTGCGAAGTTAATAAACAAAAACTTGTGTTACAAGATGTCATAAGTAGTTATACTTCTAAGTATCTTATAAGTAACATACAACTGTAATTCTCATTGAAATATTTTTAATACTTTACAGTCAAATTATGTTCTTTAATTTAGGTAATAGTTTTTGTCATAATAGTACACAGTAACTACACAAAATTTACTTTAGTAAAAGGTTTATGTTCATCTTTCAGAACAGCAGCTCTCCAAGTCAATAATCGTGCACTTTCTAATCGTAAAGACATATTGGCTATTTTATTCTAAAAATTAAAAAAATTATTATGAAATTTTCAAAATTAAAGTAAAAAAAATAATAAAAAAATTACTTGAATACTTTGTAATTTTGAAATAGGTGCACCAAAAGCCACTCTTTTAGTAGCATACTCAACAGCTACATCTAAAGAAGCTTGAGCAATCCCTAATGCCTGTGATGCAATACCAATACGACCAGCATCTTAGACAAATAAAAATGTCTATTTACAAATAATTAATAGCAATTTTTTTAATTTATATTAATAATTTAAATAAATTAAATTATAATAAATTATAAATTTAAATTATATTTTTTTTAAATTAGTGGTGCCAAAGTCAAAAATAGTAGAGCTAGGGGCTGAGTAGACTACTGGAAATGGGAATTTTTCAGATCACCTGGACCATATTATAGAAGGTAGCCTGGTAATTTTATGTTAAATTTTATTACAAAATTAAATGCACAAATATTTTATTTGTATTAAAATTAAAAACTATGGAACTACTGTAAAACTTTATTAATAGAATAATGTTACTTTTTGATAATATTTTATAAGAAAGCACCAAATAGAAAATTACAAAACATAAATATAGACATATATTAAATTAAATACACTTATATCTCAACATTGAATGTTTATTTTTTTTTTTTTGTCTGTCCAATGGATAAACACAGAAAAAAATCATCATGGTAAAAACATTATCTTCTCAGCTTTACATCTAGATCGAAAATTAAAACTGAAGCGGAATAAGAAAAAGTTTTTTGTGATTTAAATGATAAATTTTGGCTGGCCTACATAAATGTCAATCTTCTTACATAAATTTAGTTCTTACTCGACTCCTGGATAGGGCAAACATTTTTAAAATTTAAAACTTGCTTCACATCTCTTACAAATTGAATGACTTTCTTTGCTTTTTGCTTCTAATAAGTATCCTTCAATAATTTGAAAAAATCAGTAGTGGCATTAATTTCTTATTAAACTAGATTATTTATTGTTGAATGGCTTTTTTTGATAATTTAAGAAAAATTTACAAAAAAACTGTGATACCTGAGTTGAGTTTAATATATTTTACAAAGTTAAAATTTTATATCAGTTTTTTTATTGCAGTATACAAAATGACTCATTTGTCATGAATCACTTAATAATCAAAAAATAAAAATAGTATTGCACAATTTTTAATTGGTTTTTTTTGAGTACATGTTCTTTTTCAATTTATCAATGATGAACTATTTCTTCAAATGTAAACATGTTACATAATTAACCAACTTATTTAATAGACAATGTATGTTACAATTTGAAAAATATAAAGTTGACACTATTATAAGATGTAAAGAATCAACTGAGAAAAAACTTCATGATTTATAAATTGAAAAAAAACATGTACTCAATAAAACCAAAAAAAATTTTTTTTATACTTTTTTTCTTTTTTGATAATTAAGTGGTTCCTTATAAATAAATCACTATAATAAGTCTTAAGTAAAAAATTATCAACATTTTAATTTTTAATTATAAAAAGATTTACATGATAAACATTAATGAACCACTCACCTCTTTTGATGGTTGGGAAGCTGCCTTAGATTGGCACCACTAATGTAAAACCATCAGTCAATAACCCAAAATATAGAAAAATTAATAAAAACTAAATTTAAGTATTAAACTCAATTTAGTTATATATACTTAAAATACAACAAATTTAGCTTGATAAGTTACTTATTACTTAAATAAAAGTGTAACTAACAGGTGAAAAAATGACAGAAGTGTAAATTTTATAGCTATTTTTTTGATTTTAGTTTTGTAAAAAACGTAATTTAAACTTGTAATCATATAGTGTGTATTTATTTGGCTATAAAGAAAAATGAATAGACATTTTTATAATGGAAAATTATTCTAATTTAAATTAAACACATTTGTAGTACACATGTCAAAAGTCAAAATTTACATTTACATCATTATTCCATCGGAGAAGTAGTATATATTTATAAGTATAAACTGATTAAAATTATATAATACATAATTTTAGAATGAAAATTTACCTAATGTCATCATTGCAATTTTAAACCCTAGTCCTGGTTCCCCTAAAAGATTTTTTTCTGGAATTGAACAGTCCTCAAAAATTAAATTACTAGTAGATGAACCACGGATACCAAGCTTATCTTCTTTTTTTCCCAGAGAAAAACCTAAAATTAAGTTTAATCAAAATATTAGATAATATACACACACTTAATGTAACAATATATTAGTATGACTAATGAAAAAATGACTCCTGTCTAGAATTAGTTTTAAAGTTCCTTAATGAATAACTCATAATTTTACAGATTTTATTCTTAGAGGTTTACTTGAAAAAAATTCAATATTTATTGAGTTTTTCCCACATAAAAAAATAATATCTACCTGGATTATCAGTCTTAACCAAAAATGCACTGATTCCCTTATGTTTTTTAGATTTATCAGTTGTTGCAAATACAACTGATGCTTTGGCTTCATGAGCATTTGTAATCCATGATTTAGTACCATTAAGTGTCCATGAAGATTCATTTTTAGTTGCCATAGTAGATGCAGCTCCTGCATCACTTCCATTGCCTTAAAATAAAAATAATTAATTATGGAATAAAGCTATTTCAAATGTAAATTTGATGTTTTTTAACAAACTCACAACCTTTTTATTTATTTTTAAACTTTAAACTTTGTTATCAAAATGAACCTTAATCAATAAAAAAAATCCTATGAAAATTTAATATATTATTATACTGTAATCTATTATGATTGATTAATTAGCAATTAAAATAAAACTGTTCTATTGTTTTACTTGAGTAGTATATCATATTTTTTATCAGTTAATTACTTTCCATGAGATGATAACTTTTCATAACTTTTTCTATAAATAATATTTTTACTTTACAAATATATATAGGGTATTCAGTAAGAAAGGAGATTGGTTTCTATTGTTTTCATTGTTTGTAACAATTTACCTGTTTCTTAACTTACTGTACACCTGTATATGTATTTATATAAATTATAAATGTGTGTTTTATTTTATCCTGAAAAAGAAAAATTTTATTTTGGTAATCTGTTAGTAAAATATATACCTGGTTCACTTAACCCAAAACAACCAACATTTTCACCATTAGTAAAAGGTCTGATGAATTCTTCTTTTTGTTGTGCATTGCCAAACTTATTAATGGGACCAAGATACAAAGAATTATTAACACTCATTATTACTCCAGCTGATGCACATCCTCTGAAAAATTCATTCAACCAATGTTTATTTTAACATTCTTAACCATTTCACAGATAAAATACCTAGAAATTTCTTCCATAGCAATAGCATATGCTAAGTAATCGAGACCAGTACCACCTAATGATTCTGGGGTACTAATAGCCATTAAACCTAATTCACCCATTTGTCTTATCTAAAAAAATGAATTATATTGAATATGCAATTAATTAAGTTATATAATATTATAAAAAGTTACCATAAAATGAATTTTAAATGGTACTAAAATTATTTTTGAATCAAAATGTATACCTTTTTCTCATTACATAAAAAATGTAGGTAAGTCAAAAAATATAATATAATATAAATTCTGATTTAATCATTTATTCTTTTTAAAATATTATTAATCAAAGAAAAATATAGTGACAAGACTAATGTAAAAAAGAATATTTTTTTTACTCTCTTGAAGGTTTGTATTATGAACTTGTATATCCATGCATTAAAACATATATTATATCCACAAAATGCCCAATGATTAAGAGGACATGAACAAAATGATAATTATTATAACCTGTTTTTCTGGAAACAAATGTTCCCGGTCAAATTTGGCTGCATTTGGTTTTAGTTCTCCCTCAGCAAAATCTCTGCAAGTTTTATATAACAATTGATGTGTTTCAGATAGAGATGATAATGAAGCAATTGATCTTTTTAAAGTAAACATAAATCCTTAAGAAAATATTTCATAAAAATAAATAAAATTATTATATAAATGACCACATTTAAAGTGAATTTTAAAACAATTACCATTATTAGACAATAGTGTTGAAAATTTTAAACTAGACATGATAACTAAAAAACTAAACTAGGAATATTCTTGTAATACTTTTAAAATAATTTAATGTACTAAATTAAATTTTCAAAAAATAAATAATTTAAGCCCTAAAACAGCCACTTATTACGGTAATAAATATTATTACCGTAATCTCTACGTCCTACAATTGATAATATTATGATAAATCAATGTGACCTGTGACAACAGGACGTCTTGTGTTATGCGTTGACTATAAAGCACTGTTAAAATGCTGAAATGAATCTCTGACGCGCCTTTACTGACGATTATTAGCTAATTTTTTAATACTTATATTGCCCTATGACATGTCGTTCATTGACAAGACATGTTCAATGACCCCTAGTCTAGAGAAATTGTTAAACAAAGAAAACAGGAAAGTTATGATATATTACACGTTTGGTATAAATTTTCTATAAGAAATATTTTAATCAAATCCATAATGCCGACAATTGAAAAAAATCTTTAAATTTTAAAAATTTAGAAAATTATCTCAAAATTAAGTTGTTATAAAAAACAGCATTTTCAAAAAAATGTATAATTTATTTATATAACTGCTATAAATTTTTTTTAAAAACATCGATTCTAATGAAAATATAACATGTAACAAATTAAAGCTTTTGAAGCGTACTACAATATTTAAAAAAAACTATACCACATTTGTTAGAAAAATTACAAATATAAATAAAAATTATTGTAAACGTTAAAAGATTCACATAGAAACATTTTTTTATAATAATGATTTTACTTACTGTCAAATGTCATTTATGTTTGACCNCACATAGAAACATTTTTTTATAATAATGATTTTACTTACTGTCAAATGTCATTTATGTTTGACCAAACTATACAGCGACTCAACTGTGATGATTGTTTTAAATTTTTTTCTCAAACATAATTTGATTTTGTTGCTTTATAATATTTTCATTATAATAAGGTTAATCTTTTATAACATTAATAGTTTTATTTATTTTTCTAAATTCAAATTAAAGTGTCAGTATAAAATACGTGTTTATAAAAGTACAAAACTTTAAAAAATAAATTTTTATCCTGGACATTAATTTAACTTGCTTATTAAAATCTTGAAAAATAGTTTTATAAAACTATAGTTTCATTTATCCTAAAACTATTTTTCAAAGTATTTTATTATATTTATATTAAAATTATAATATTTCAATTAATAAATTATATACATTCAAATGTAACCGCGCTATTATACTTTATAAAGTATCTTTGTACAAAAATAATTTAATTTAATAGAGTAAAGATTTTTAATTTTCTAAATGGCAACACTGGCATGCGATTAGAGCTAACACCACATTTTTACTTGTTTTCCTTTTAACGATTGCAGATACGTGCTCAGCTTTTAGACGTTTCTTCGGAATTGTCATTAAGGTAATTTTATGGATTTTATACTTAAGATTATTTTAATGTAGCTTATTTTTTTAATAAATTTGTACAATATATATTTTGACAATTCTACTTACAAATTCATTTATAATCTTCAGTAACTCATTATGTAGTCTATTGTCGATTCCTGTGTCCTAACCTCAAATACTGTATCTTAAATATGGTTTTTATGTTTTAAATTTTCTCGACTTATTTTCATTTAATTTGTTTATATCATTAATGAATTATTAATTTGTTTTATTACAGATGTCTTCTATAACATTAAAAGATGTTGACCAACACAAATTTGTTGCTTCATTTTCCGCATTTTTAAAAAAGTAACATTTACATTCTTTTTGTTAAATATTTTTATTCTTAAATACTATGCTTGTAGGAGTGGAAAGTTGAAACCCCCAGAATGGGTTGACATTGTTAAGAATGGAAAATTTAACGAATTAGCTCCTTATGATGAAGATTGGTTCTACACTAGGTGTGCGGCTACTCTTAGACATATTTATTTCCGATCACCTGTTGGTGTTGGTTCCCTTACTAAAATTTTTGGAGGTATTTCATAGTTTAATTAATAGTTTGTTTTGAAATTATTTTATATATTCATACTAAATTAATAACTTATGAGAACCTTATATATTTTTCAATGTGTATAGTTTTTAAAAATTAGAATAATCCTATTTTAATATATCCCTTCCATAAATTTTAATTATAACCAAATTAACTTTTTTCATCAAAATACATTTTTAAAAAACATTTTACTGTCCAGTTTAACATTTTTTTTTGTATTAGTATCTCATACTGTTTAAATAGACTTATCAAATAACAATCATTAATTAACTGTTAATTTATTATAAAATGTTGCAGTTTTAAATTTAAATATTTAACATTTATATAATAGAAAATCCCTTTTAGCTTCGATGCGAGCTGAGAAGGTATTGGTTTTACTAAGATGTGTTTATTTTTTTTTTTTTTTTTTTGTGTCTATTACCACTTTTTCTCAGCTCTCACCGAACGGATTTCTTTCAACGATACGTCAAAAGATCACAAATTGTATCTAGTCGAAGACATTACCCTCAAAAATTGAAAAAAATTCCCTCGTTCCCCGTAAATGGGGGAAACCTCCAAAAAAATTACAAATTTAAAAATCGCTAATTTTCGAAATTTTTTCAAAATTTTCAATTTTTTTTACTTAAAACTTTTTCAAAAATGAACATATCAATATAATTCTTTTTTATATAGATGCATAATATTATTACCTTTCATTTTTTTCATAAATTTAACCCTTAACCTGCCCACAAGGGGGGATTTAAAATGACAACTTTTTCACAAAAAATTAATTTTTTTAACTTAAATTTTGAAAATGTTCCGGAAGGTCTGACACTTTTATATATATCTTAAATTAAAGCTAATGTAATATGCTTTATCATGAAAAAAAAAAATTTCGGACTTTATCTTATCTTCATGGTGAAAATGGCTACCGAATGCTATTTTTGTGTGAAAATTTTCGATTTTGTATTTTCCATTTTTAACTTTATTATGCTATAACTTTTTGAAAAATGTATGAATCATTACAATTTTTTTATGAGAAGTAGTATTTATATAGATCTTTCATTCGACATACTGTTTTTTTAAATCGGACCATTTCCCTAAATACAGGGGGGATTCAAAACATAAAAATGCATATAGAAAGTAGAACTTTTTCAACGTAACTTTTGAAAGTGTTCCGGAAGGTCTGACACTTTTATATATATCTTAAATTAAAGCTAATGTAATTTACTTTATTATGGAAAAAAAAAATTTCGGACTTTATTTTATCTTTACGGTGAAAATGGCTACCAAATGCTATTATTGTATGAAAATTCTCGATTTTATTTTTTACATTTTTAACTTAATAATGCTATGACATATTGAAAAGTGTATGGATCAACATTATTTTTTTATGAGAAATAATATTTTTTAATAATCCCTTTTTCATTCGACATACTTTATCTTAATTAGGATATTAATAATGAACTAGCAGATCATGTAGCTTTTGGAATAATCCACCAATTTTTTAAAATTAAATACTATCTAAAGATTTGCATCGAAGCGTTTTTTTTTTATAGTGATTTTAATCACTGTCAGATATCATTATACTTGATCCATCTATGCCACGTCACCACTGTGCCACGACCCCCCTGTGCTGGGTTTTTTTATATTTATTTCATACTTTCATTCACTTTCACCAAAAATTTCACTCTATAATTATACATATAACAAAGTGAAATTGTTAATCTTTTGCAACAAACAAAATATTTTTAAAAATATTAAAATAAAATATTGTATCAGTCAATTTTAAAAAGTGTTATGATAGATCTATACAATTTTAGTTTGGTTAATGGTAATGTAAACTTAAAGTTGAATTATTGCAATTGTACTGTATTATTAATTTACATTTAAGTTTATACTAACTAATTTTTCATCCATTTTTTTTTTTTTATATATATATATAAATACGTATAGCTCGCAAACGTAATGGTGTGAGACCATCACATTTCTGTCGCAGTTCTGCAGGCATCGCTCGTAAAGTTCTCCAATCATTGGAACAAATTAAACTGATTGAAAAAGTAGAAAATAATAATGGTAGACGACTCACATCTCAAGGCAGACGTGACTTGGATCGTATTGCAGCACAAGTTAAACAAGCTAAAAAGAAGAAGCAAGCACTATTGGCTGCTGAATCAGCTGGATTCACTGTGCTTGTTCCGAAAACTGACTAAACATCTATAAGTTAAATTATATTGTTTTGGAGACCAAAAGTAATAAAGTACTTTTATAAATATAAGTCTTTTTTATTTTAACAATTTTTCACTACAGTTAAATTATATTTGATTATAATTTAGTATAATTTTACATTTGTTTTATTCAATATAATAAGTTAAAATGATGAGATTATAGAAAATTTAGAAGAGGAAGTAAACATGTATTCCCATTAATTTTAAAAATGAAAATTGATTGCTTTATTCATAGTTTAATTCCAATTCTTATTCTATTATTATTCTCTTAACAATAAAAAAATTAATTTATGTCATTGGGGGCAAACTGTTTCATTAGTAAAATTAAGTATTTCTATGCTACTGTATATCTCAATAAAAAATTGCATAAACTTGGCTCTTTTTAAAATGCGTATAATAAAATATATAAATCCATTCTTTAGATTTACTAATAAATAAATAAACTATTCATTAAAATATAATTGAAATAAAAAAAATTAGTAAAACTTTTTATTTCTGATATCAAATTTGTAGAGCCATTCTTTCAAGTTTTTTGTTTGATTATAAGCTATCTGATTAGTTTTTAACTCTCCATTATTTGTATTAAATGAATTTCTCCAGTAATCTGCAATAATTTTAAATTGTAATATTAAGTATACTGCATTTATTGACTCTCAGAAGATATAAAAATCTATATAACCCAGCACAACACAATCTGTAGTATCTACTCACCGAAGTGTATTTTACTGAGCTAGATAGGTTACCTAAAAGTAATTATTTATATATGTAACTTACTCAAATCATTATTTAAAGTGATTGGAGAATTATTATTATAGTATGTATTTTGTAATGCATCAATTAAATTGCTAAGATTATTTTCAGCAACTTTAATTTTATATTCTTCCTGTAAAAATAGTGATGATGTTTAAACCAGAATTATAAATCTATATATTCATATATTTAGTACTTGATTTAAATTTTCTAATGGATTTGCAGTATATACGTTATTTAACATATAATTACTTAATATATCTTGATAATTTTTAGCTTGATTCCAATATTGTGTATACTTTGTATCAGAATCTACAACATGAATGCGTTTTAGTATCATTTTTAAATTATTTGGCGATTTGAATCCCTTATGACCAACCTCTAAAACTATTTCTCCATGAAGAAAACTGGGTTGATATTGGTTGTGTAAAATAATTAACCGTATTCTGTTGATATTCTAAATCAGTTTGGCTAGAAACTGAACATTTGTTTGTACATATACTCGATTTATTTATACCTATTAATTTTCATTAAGTAATTAATTCATATATACTTTATTGTAAAATAAATATTTATTTTATACGTTTTTAAGGTTTTTCTTTTACTTCATAACAACGAGTAATTAATTCGATTAGTAGTCAAGATTTTTACTTTGGTTAAATTCTTTTCAAGCATTAGGAAACATTCAATTATTTTTATTAATTTTATTTTATTAACAATTACTCAGACGACTTGTATTGTAGAATATATCAATATTGTTTTGTTAAAAGAACCTAGAGTGGACTGATCTTATACCCTTTAAAAATACATCATGGCTTTAATAAATTTAGCATGCTATTTTACAATAATTTACTGACTTAAAAAAATAATTCAAACTTAAATAAGACATTGTATTCAACTCTTACGTTATTATTACGTAAAATAATGAATAAAGTAATTTGTTTAATGTATTGAAATTATTGCATTTAACCATTTTGCAAGCTTCAACTTTTTCAGTGCCTAGGGTCTTTGTAGAATTTACGAGAAAGATTGATCCTCCTGGATTTTTTACTTAATCTTTTTAAATTTTTTGTGTAACGAGCTCAAATCCGTTATTCTTACAAAAAATAACACAAAAATACAAATAATATGTAGGCTATTTACCATTGTCATTTGGTGATGCAAAATCGGAGATGTGGCTACTATTTAAAGCCTGTAAAACGTCATTTAACTCGTTTAAACATTTCCAAATTTTCTGTTTAATATTTCGATAATTTAAATTATTAACATCTAAATTATTCCTAAAAATAATTTTTTTTTTAAAGTATTAATTCATTATGTAGCTAAAATTAAATTCAAAGAGAGAAATAATTTTCTTACAGATTATTTGGATCTTCATTGGGAAGTTGTTTAGGATATAATTTTTCATGATTATTGCTATCTCTTTTATCAATTATCTTTAAGTTTTCCTCTTTAGTCCTTTTTTTAATTTGAATCAGTTCTTCTCGTAAGACTGAATTTAACTCTTCAGCAGCACTCTTAAGTTTATCTTCAGAAATAGTTTCTAGTCTTTCTTTATAATTTAAAACACATTTATTTGTCTCTATTTCAATAAGACACTTAGTATCTTCTAATTTTTTATCTAAATTATTTTTCAAATCGCTAGTTTTAACAGATATTAAAGTTTCTAATGATTGATCCCAATCATTAATAACTGTAATTGATTTTTTATCAATTTCTTCTAAACTACATAATTTAGATGCTTCGTTGGTATCAGATACAATTTGATTTTTTAACTCTTTAAATTTGTTTTCTAGTTCTTTGTTTATTTTATCGGAAATATCATTATAGATCTTTTGATTATCTAAAGAACATTGCATGTCATGTTTATCCTTTGCATAGGCCATATTTTTTTCTAATTTATTTTGCCTAAAATAATTGAGGTTTATATAAGATAAAATGAAATTATTCTAGCTTCATTATTTATTAAAACTAATATTTTCGTAAAATAAATAATTTACAGATTTTGTACTGTATCAATAAGTTCTACATTCTTTTTTGTATGGTACTCTTCAAAAAGCTTATTGATTCGTTTTTCCATTGTTTCACTGTTTTTATTTGTGAGGTAAACCAAGTCGTCAATTTTTTTTATAAGTTCGTTTCTGTAAATTTATTTACATTTAAATAAACAATGTTAAATTAGTACTTTAAATGTTATTCTTTATTATTATTATTATTATAAGTTTATAACACAAAAACAAACTACAACAGATTTATTAGCTTTTCCCCCAAAACACTAAAATCTTAGGGGACCATGAAAAATGATGCAAACTTAATGAAAAATTATGAAAAAATCTGATATTTATTTATAGTCTAGAAACCAGATTATCTCAGAATCTCTTGGTTGTTATCTAAGAAACTTATAGATTTTTAGCTGTAGTATTTAAAAAATAAATTAATATGCATTATTAAGCATATAATCAGTTTAATACTGATATATTTAAATTAAAAATCATCACAAATTGTTTGAAATAAATTTATTTGATGTGATAAAGGATTGTAGGAACTTTCAGTAAACCAAGTGCTTAAGTCTCCTTAATCAACTCCCCTTATGAGTTTTAAAAATAAGCTAGTCGCTCAAATCGGCATGAAGGACAATTATAAATCAATCCTTTAAATTTTTATTTTTTTCTAATAAAATTTAAAGCTGTATTTTATTAGAAATAAAAACGCCACACTTAATAATTACGCATGATTTCTCCAAACTGAATGAGTAGTAATACCCCAAATGACTATTCTGAAAAAAATATTGTACTACAAATTTTTGCAGTATATGCTAGTCAAATGTACATCTAAATAAATAAATTTTATATCAATTTAGGTTAAAATCATATCACTTTTTGTTAAAATATTTTTAATTTAGAGGTTTATAAAAATTTTTATATCCCCTACTTTCGTTTTAACTATTTTTGTTGGTAACAATAAAATTATAACAATACTGTTATCAAATTTTATACACATTCCAGTTCATCATTATTGTTTCTAATTACTTTAGTTTAAAAACAAATATTTCACGTAATATCGAGGTTAGTATCATTTCCAGCGTTCCCCTAAATAGTATCTCACATTTTTAGCTTCGATGCAAAGCTGAGAAGGTATTAATTTTACTATGATGTGTTTTTTTTTTCTGGGGGGGGGTCTGTTACCACTTTTTTCAGCTCTCACCGAACCGATTTTTTTCAACGATACATCAAAAGATCACAAATCGTATGTCAAAAAAATTACCCTCAAAAATTGAAAAAAATTCCCTCGTTACCCGTAAATGGGGTAAATCTCCAAAAAAATTACAAATTTAAAAATCGCTAATTTTCGAAAATTTTTCAATTTTTTTTACTTAAAACTGCTATAACTTTTTCAATAATAATTATATCAATATAATTTTTTTTTTTTATAGATACTTGATGTCTTTACCTATCATTTGGTATATTTTTTTTATAAATTTAACCGTTTACCAGCCCACAGAGGAGGATCATTTGATTTTTATCTCATTTAGATTCAATAACTTCAATAAATATCAAGGATCCCATTACTGTAATCTCCTCTCGTGAGAAGAAATTCATATTAATATTATTTTACTATGTGCTTTTTTGTGTAGCTATCATTTATTTTATCATCTCTCACATTACCTACTTTTTTGACAATTTTTTTTTTTTTTTAATTAAACACTATCTACAGATTTGCATCGAAGCGTTTTTTATGATAGTGATTTGAATCACTGTCAGATATCATCTATACTGAACCCAACTATGCCACGACCACACTGTGCTGGGTTTTTTAACTGTTATCCTTATTTTTTAGCTTATCTTTCTTAACATCTTAATTAACAAATTAAAAAAAATATGACCTCTTATTAAAAAACTTTTAATTGTATTCATAGGTATATGTGTTTTGCATTTTAATAGGTCAAAAATATATATTTTACCTGATTAAACTTTCTTTATTTTGAATGACATCTTCTAATTCATTTTTAATAATAGAACATTGATTAACCACCATTGCTTCTATATGAAGTTTATCACTATTTTTCTTTTTTTCAACAAATTTATCTTCTGTTTCACTAATCTTATTTGAAGATATTTCTTTTATTTCAAATGTATTTATGTCACACGCAGAGTCAAAAGTTTTAGAGCTATCGGTATCAGGCGTCTTATTAAATGGTTTAGTTAAAGGAAACTTTTTAGCTATATTGGCTACAATTGACTCGGTTACAGCTAATTTTTCAGTATTTTCTGAAGATTGAACATTTTCACCCAAGTTTACTGAGTTGTTTTCAATATTTTCCGAATCGTATTTCAAGAAATCCATATGACTTGATTCCGCTTGAATGTCCTTTTTTTGATTATTATTATAATTTTCAGAAGAATGATAATCTTTAATTTTTGTGCTGCGTTTTATTATTTCATCAGATGATTCTTTAAAAAAAATAAAATTTTAATTTAAAAAATAAAAATTTTTTAAAATATATATATATATATAAGTGGCGCTTGCTTTGAGTACTTAAGACCCCCCAAATATTTGAAAAATTATATTTATTGTAAAATAAAATTATATTTATTAAATATATTAATCAAGAGATAGGAAATTACACTAATAATTCCAAAAATCTGTGAACTATGTGCGTTAAAGAAATATTTGATGTACTTTTGATTTTCTGTATAATTTTGTTTAAAATTTCATTACAAAGAACTGCATATTAGTTCCAATTTAAAATTTGTACTTAATAAGATTAGGACACTTATTGGCTCTCATTGTAGTAGATTCTCTATTATAAGAAACCTATAATTATGACAATATTCTATCTTATTAGGACATATTTTTTTTTTTTTTTTTTAGAATGAGAGGTATTGCAAAATGTCATTTAATACCCTAGCTATTAATAACGTATTAATAATGAAATATAATTATTTTTCATTCTTAAAATTTGCAACTACAAAAATATAAGAAATAAATAACTAATTTTTAAATGTCAAGTGTTGCTAATGGATAATTTCTTATTAAGTTTAAATGTCATGTATTTACTCTCAGGGGCGTCATTTCAGTTTTTTTAGGTGTGCGAAATTTCAAGTAGGCCATTTTGAAATTTCATCAGGCCATATAAAAATAGATATACCTACTTAAGTATATTATTCTTCTTTTCATTTTTCCAAAGATTATAAATCACAATCAACATAAGTAGTAAATATAAATTATAATCATACTTTTTCTTTTTCCTCGCCTTAATTCCAACTACTTGGGGTTGGCTACCCTTATCCTAAACTTCCACTTGACACGATCACCCACATCAGACGTCCTCATATCGCATTTAATTACATCCCTCCATCTTTTTTGGTCTTCCTCTACCCCTTACCCCTTCACCCTTCAACATTTATTTCTACAATTGTTCTTACAGCTTCCGATTCTTCTTTTCTCATTACATGACCAAACCATCTAAGTCTATTTTCTCTCATCTTATCTACAATTGACACTACACATGTACTTCCTCTTATATGCTTATATGCTTATTTCTTATCTTATCTTCTCTAGTCACTCCACTCATCCATCTAAGCATTCTCATCTCTGCTACACTCATTTTCTGCTCTACTTTCTTGCCAACCGTGAAACACTGAACCATATATCATAGCTGGTCTCACTACAGTCTTATAGAACTGACCTTTCAGCCTCATTGAAATTTTTTATCATACAAGACACCAGACGCTTCTCTCCACTTCAACCATCCACACTTAATCCTGTGTCTTACATCCTTGTCACTACCATCTGTCTTTTGTACAACTGATCCTAAATGCTTAAAACTTTCCACCTCTCCTATCACGTCTTCGCTAATTGTCACTGAACTCGTCATTTCTGCTACCTCGTGTTCTCCTTTGTCAAACTCATACTCTAAATACTCTGACTTACTTCTACTTATTCTTAAACCCTTTTCTTCAAGAGAATAGTTAAAGAGAAAAAGATTCTGATCTCCACACTTCTAGCCTTTGATAATTTCCTCCCTATGTTCTCCTATTACTATATTGTCAGCTAATTACATGCACCACGGTACCTCTCCTTGTATTTCTCTAGTAATTTCATCCAACACTATAGAGAATAAGTAAGGGCTTAAAGCAGAACCTTGGTGCACTCCTACTCCTACCCGAAAACCTTCTGATACTCCTCCTACGCTTTTTACCCTGGTACAAGTGCTATCATACATATCTTCTATTATATTAATGCACCTTTTCGGGATTTCTTTTCTCATTAATGCCCACTTTAAAACCTCTCTCGGTATTCTGTCATACGCTTTCTCCAAATCTTTAAATACCGTATACCATAAACAGCTTTTTCTTCTTTTCCCTAAACTTTTCTATTAGTTGCCTCACACAAAATATTGGCTCCATTGTTGACTTACCAGGCACAAATCCAAACTGGTTTTTAGATACCGATGTCTTATTTCTTATCCCCTTTTCTATTACCTTTTCCCAAATTTTCATACTATGATTCATAAGCTTTATGCCTCTATAATTTCCACACTCCTGTATGTCTCCTTTACCTTTAAATATCGGCACCACTATACTATTCCTCCATTCATTTGGTATTTTCCCTTCTAATAAGATTTTATTTAAAAGTTCCTTCAACCACCTTATGTCAACACCGCCTAACATTATCCATACTTCTACTAGCCCTTCATCTGGTCCTACTGGTTTATTCTTTTTCATTGATGCCACATCCTCTCATACCGTTTTCTCAGTAATTAAATCTACTAGTCCCTTATTACACGAGATATCCTCCAATGTTTCTTTTGGATACTTTTCATTCAGTGTTTTTTCAAAATACTCTTTCCGCCTTTTTTTCACATCATCATCACTTGAGAGTACCTTATTATCAACACTTTTTATACACCTTATATAATGATAATCTTTAGATCTTTTCTGTCTTATCTTTGCGAGTCTATAGATTTTTTTCTCACGTTCCTTTGTTCCTAGCCTATTATACATCTCATCATATCTCTTAAACTTCGCCTTACTTATTGCACACCTGGCTTCTTTGCACAACCGTTTATACTCCATCCAATATTCTCTCTTTTTGCCATACTTTGAATTACTTTTTCTTACTTTCAAAAATTATTTTAATGTCCTCATCCCACCACTGGGTTTGCTTGTTTCCTGGCATTTACTCCTACTCTCACCAACAATCTCCTTTGCAGTATTCTTTACACAACTAGCAAATCTGTTCCATACGTGAATTATGTCTCCCTCGACATTCCACGTCGTCCTCTCTTTTACCGTCTTTAAAAACACTTTTTCATTTTCCCCTTTCAATTTCCACCACCGAATCCTCGATTTTCAACCTGTGTTTTTTCTGTTTTTGTATATTCTTTTCCCACTACACCACAATTCCATTACCATGTTGTGAAGTTACACTCTCGCCTGGTATAACTTTATAATCTTTTACTCGTTTTACGCTCTCTCTCTTCCACATAAAATAATCAATTAGTGATCTATTACTCCTACTCTTATAACTTATTTATTGTTCTTCCCTTTTTCTAAAATAAGTATTAACCACAGCAAGATCATACGATACTGCGAAATCCAGGATTCTTACTCCAGCCTCATTTTTTCCACTAAAACCATACCCTCCATGTACCTAATCTCAATCAATCTCTCATCAAAACACTTCCTTATCTATTTCATCACATCCTACTTGTGGTTCATAGACACTTATTACATTCAACACTCTCTTCTCGAAAATTAATTTTACGACTATAATTCTATTACTTTTCCTAGTTACTTCTGCTACTTAACTTTTAATCTCCTCATCCATTATTATCCCTACACCATTCATTGTACTAGACTTATCTGAGTATATTATTTTATAACCCTCACCTATTTCCCTTGCTTTCTTTCCCTTCCATTTAGACCTGTACACATGATTGGTGAATCAACTACTGCACAAGTTGTCCGGCTGGTATCAACACTTTATTCCTTAGGCCTTCTCCGTTTTTAACTACTTTATTTACTCTCACTTGTTGTCCCCGCGTACATCTGATATGGGAAAATCCACCTAAGTTTTGTTCAGGACTTTTTGACAAAAATTTTACGCCGGCCGTCAACCTGACGCAACGTCATTAGTTGCCTCTAACGACTGGCAGATGTGCCGTGGAAGTATTCTTTTCCCTATCCACAGGGACATAAACTATAATAATACACTTACTATTTTAATATTATATAATATAACGTAGCGTCAAGATCAAAGCAATCGTTGAATTTTATATTTATCAGTTCATTACCGTTATCAATTATTATCATTTAACTACGCAGTAAAAAAGTAGTTATAAAAACAATTACGAACGTTAATATTAATATCTTGCATCCGATACGAATATCAATAGCTCAGTATAATATATTTATTTATTTTCTAAATTAATTGATAACAGAATATTTGTTTATTGACCCATGTAACCATGATAATACAATGTTTTTGAAATTTGAATTGATGTATAATAAATTCATGCATTATTTTTGCAGGCCAATTGGGACTGTTTTTAAAGTAAGGTTGCAACCGCACATCCTGATCCCCCCAAATGATGCCCTTATTTACCCTTATCTTATAGCTTATTGTACATAATATTGTATAGATTATTAATGTCAAATAAAAAAAAAAATTTATATATCCGAATTTAAGATTTAAGTCTTAAGATTTTCCGTTATAATGGAGCAAAGAATAATGGAAAGTCTTAAAATTTACCATCATTTAAATCTTCTGTGTCAAGTTCAGAAGTGCTGCTATCTGATTGATTAATAGATTCCGTCAAGGTAATATTAATTTTCTTTGAGTTTTCTTTTCGAAAAAGTGAAATTTTGTTCATCAACTTATCATCGTGTTCTTTAATATCATTTTCTTTCATTATATTTTTATTTAATAAGACACTATATTTCGACAATGCTGTACGACTGCCTAAAACAATGATTTGAAGTAATAATCATTACTAGTGACGTATTTAGTGGGAGGCACAGGGCCACGTGCCCTTCCCCCATTGACTGAGCCATGTAAATAATATATCAAGCAAAGTAATAATGTATAATGTCATAAAAAAAGTTTTTTTGTTGGTTATCGATTATATTGTTTTGTGAAGCAAAATTTGACGCCCGCACAGTTAATGTAATAAAACTATACTTGAATTGATTAATGCGTAGAGATACACACTAATTTTTAAAAAATAATATTTTTATTAATAAAAATAGATTCAAAACAAATATCAGACTTTTAAAAAAAAAATCTAAAATATGTGTTTAATGTGTGTTAACAAAAGTTACTAGCAAAAAAAAAGTCGTTCTATGGTACCTAATCATGAACATTTTTTGTGCCCCCCACCTATTATAAATTTCTAAATACGCTAGTGATCATTACTATTAATATTTTTACTTATACTAAAACTGAATCATAAAGAAAAAATTGATTAATATATTTACCATTTGTTCTTGAATCCATAATAGTATTAATAGGGAAGAGTGGTAAATTTTGAGAAACTGATGTTGATGTATTATATGGTTTATTTAATCTAAAAATAATTATATCTACATTAAAAAATTTTTCTTAATAAATATTGTTACTAGTAACAAGTATAGAAACTAATTAAATAAATTCATAAAAGTTAAATGTTATACCTAAAAATGGAGTCAAGCATTAATGAACAATGTCAAAATCAATATAAACCAAGTAAATATCTTGGAATTTATCTATATTTTGTTAGTAGCTTCGATGTGTACTGAAAAGGGATTAATTTTACTATAATGTGTTTTTTTTTTTGTGTGTGTTACCCCTTATTCTCAGTTCTCGTCGAACCGATTTCTTTTAACAATACGTCAAAAGATCACACATCGTATCTAGTCAAAGATATTACCCTCAAATTTTGAAAGAATTTCCCTCATTCCCTGTATATGAGGGAAGTCTCAAAAAAAATTAAAAATTTGAAAATAGCTAATTTTCGAAATTTTTTCAATTTTCTTTACTTAAAACTAGACATTTAAAACTGAACATTTTAAAAATGATCAAATCAATATTATTATTTTTTTATAGATATATGAGATATTTACCTATCATTTTATATATTTTTTTTATAAATTTGACTCTTTAACTGCCATCAGGGGGATTCAAAATGACAATTTTTTCAACTTAACTTTTGAAAGTGAATACTGACACTTTTATATATATCTTAAATTAAAGCTAATGTAATATACTTTATCATGGAAAAAAAAATTTGGACTTTATTTTGTCTTCACGGTGAAAATGGCTACCAAATGCTACTTTTGTGTGAAAATTTATATTTTACATTTTTAAATTTATATTACTATAACATTTAAAAAAAAACCCAGCACAGGGGGATCGTGCCACAGTGGCGACGAGCCATAGTTGGGTCAAGTATAATGATATCTGACAGTGATTAAAATCACTATCATAAAAAACGCTTCGATGCAAATCTTTAGATAGTGTTTAATTTTAAAAAATTAGTGAATTATTACAAAAGCTAAATGATATGCTATTTCTTTATTTATATCATGATTAAGATAAAGTATGTCGAATAAAAGAGTGATATAAATATTATTTCTTATAAAAAATTATATTGATCCATACACTTTTCAATAAGTTAAAGCATTATTAAGTTAAAAATGTAAAAAATAAAATCCAGAATTATCACACAAAAATAGCATTTGGTAACTATTTTCACCGCCAAGACAAAATAAAGTCCGAAATTTTTTCAAATTTTAAGGGTAATATCCTTGACTAGATACGATTTGTGATCTTATGACGTATTGTTGAAAGAAATCGGCCCAGTGAGAGCTGAGAAAAAGTGGCAACAGGCATAAAAAAAAAACACATCATGGTAAAATTAATACCTTTTCAGCTTCGCATCGAAGCTAAAATCTAGCATAGTGAGGTCGCGCGCTATAGTTGTACATGTACAAATGATATTCGACAATGACAAAAACCATCATTATACAAATCTATAGATAATCTTTAATTTTTATTGGAATTGTTAGACTTTTCCAATAGCAAATCAATTTCTATTATCTTAATTATAACCTGATTATAAGTTTTATGATTTATCAGTATATTACAGGAATAATTAATTGTTATAAATATAAAATTTAGTATGCAGTTATTATTCAATTTTTTGTATTGTAATTTTTACGGAAGAATTATAAAATAAATGTATTTTATTACAACTATAACAAATCAGTATCACAATTGAAAATATGGCTTTATAAAAACAAAAAGAAATAAATTAGCTTTCTTAATTTGCTTATTTTGAACTTCATTAACTAATTATTATTTCAGTTATAAATTTAAAATTGTAATTTATCATAAGCCAATGGTAGCTAGAACATTTTTTTTTTTTTGAAAAGGCTAACCTACTTTAATATACTTATTGGATTACCACTAAAATCTGACAATTCTTTCTAGAAATTTAGATTCGATGCGAAGCTGAAAAGATATTAATTTTACCATGATGTGTTTTTTTTTTTTTATGCCTGTTGCCACTTTTTCTCAGCTCTCACTGGACCGATTTCTTTCAACAATACGTCGTATCTAGTTTAAGACATTATCCTTAAAAATTGAAAAATTTTCCCTCGTTCCACGCAAATGGGGGAAATATCCAAAAAAATTACAAATTTAAAAATCAGTAAATTTTGTCATTTTTTTCACTTTTTTTTCTTAAAACTTCCATAACTTTTTCAAAAATAAACAAATCAACATAATTTTTTTTTATATTTAAACCTTAGATATTTCCCTTTTATTTTATATCATTTTTTTGAAAATCTAACACTTAACCTGCTCATTGGGGGGGATTAAAATAGCAACTTTTTTATAAAATCTAACTTTTTCAACTTAATTTTTGAAAATGTTCCGGAAATATTGCGTCCTTTAAACATATATCAAATTAAAGCTTATTTTATGTACTATAAAATGAAAAAATAAAATTTGTCCCAACAATTTATCTTTTGCATGTAAACGGCTGCCGTAGTTAAAAAAACGCTAATTTTGTGTTAAAATTTTCGATTTTAAATTTTCAACTTAAAAGTGCTATAACTTTTCGAAAAATGTAATTATCAGCACAAATTTTTTTTTTCTAAATACATTATAAGTACATCTTTCATTTGACATACTTTTTATTAAAATTGGACAATTTCCCCATATATAGGGGGCGTTCAAAACTTGAAATATTGTATAAAAAATAGAATTTTTTCAACTTAACTTTTGAAAGTGTTCCGGAAATACTGCGTCCTTTAAACATATATAAAATTAGAGTTTATTTTGGGTACTATAAAATGAAAAAAAAAATTTGTCCCGACGACCTATCTTCTATGCGCAAATGGCTATCGTATTCAAAAATATGCTATTTTTGTGTTAAAATCCTGGGTTTTGTATTTTATTTTATTATAAAATATCTTATAAGGGCAATACACTGACTTTCATGAATATTTTATAATTTAATTGACATAGAATAAAGTTCATAAGACATAAGAAATTAAACTTATTAAATTTTTTTATTTTTTTATAGTCGAAAATGTAATTTTTAAATTTGAGTTAGCTTAAATAGCCAATTTTATCAGGCGACGAAAGCAACGAACAGTTGCCGAGTCAGGTACACTTGCGTTTTTCATGCTTACGGTACGAGGTTCAAATCTGTCTGTGGCTATTAATACTTTGCATTTTTTTGAGTAAGAATAAAATGTTCAAATCATTTGATATTTATCTCATTTATATTCAATAACTTCAATAAACATAAAGGATCCTATCACTATAGTCTCCCCTCGTGAGAAGAAATTTATATTTATGTTAATATTATTTTAATATGTGGTTCTGTTTGTGGCTACGATTTATTTTGTCAACCCTCACTAGATCTACTATTTCAACAATACGTCAAATGATTACAATTCGTATTTAGTTTAAGTTATTACTCTTAAAAATCGAAAAAATATTCCTTATTCAAATAAAAAGTAGCTTAACCAGCTTTTTCCATACAAAAAATTTAAATCATTAATTTCTAATACTCTTAAAGTATTCATTGTTGAATTAGATTTGATATGATAAAAGTATTCAACCACAAAAGTAAATAATTTTACTTTGTAATTTATTAATTTTTTAACTCTATTTGTGTGTGCTACTACCAGACTATAATATTCCAAATTTTTTTGTAACATGTTGCTATATAAATCATAAATTAAAAAAAAAATGATTTTTAGTTTCACCTGAATTTAACGATGGATTTTTACAATTATAATCAAATTTTATAATAAGATCAATTGAGTAAATCTTTTTAACAACTTTTTTTTTATTGATTTTTTTAGATATATAATCATTAAAATTAATTAAATTCTGAATATTTCCATTATAGAATCTTTTTAAACACCAAAAGTTAATTAGAAATGATTACTATGATTTTTATTTAAGTGATCTATTACGATAAAAATGTAAAAAAAATCTAACTTTTCTGATAAATGTACTATAAATATTAATTATAAAATTCCCTGATTGCATATTAATCTTAACAATTTCATTTTTTTCTATTTAATAATGTCAATTTCAAAATTGAGCTAAATGTTATGGTAATAAATTCTTTTTTTTTTTATTAAAACTTTCACCTTAAAGAACAATAAAAAGTAGGTTCAAAATGATTACTTTTAACATATTAAAAATCAAAATCAATAATAATTTGAAAACAATTAATTTTAAAATTTATATAATATATAATTAAAAGAATTACTAATCTGCGTAAATTAAGGAAATAGAAATGTTGCTTTTGTAATTATCCATTATTTTTTAAAATCAAACACTATCTACAGATTTGAATCGAAGCGTTTCTTATGATAGTGATTTAAATCACTGTCAGATTAAATCTATATTGGACCCAACTATGCAACGTCTCCACTATGCCGCGACCCCACTGTGCTGGGATTTTTATAACTAATTCTTATCTTTTTTATTATTATATATATTTATATATATATATATTTTTTTTTTGCAGAAGAGGGAATTTCTTTATCACTTCTATATGACTATACTGTTTGACTTAAAATATTGTCATAAATAATTGAAAGAAAAATTTGAAATAAAAAAAACAACACAATAAAAACGTGGTTTTTTAAACTAAAATGACATAATTTCTTCAAGGGTCGTTTACATGTAGAAAGTAGGGTGTCAGGACGAATGTTTTTTTTGCAACATATAGTATAGTAATTTAAGCTTTAATTTAACACATGTTTGAAACTCTGAGTATTTCTAAAATATTTTTAAAAGTTAATTTGAAAAGTAAACTTATCAAGCAAAAGTTGCTATTTTGAATTTTTCATGTGGGCAGATAAAGGATTAGATTTAAAAAAATATATACTAAATAAAAGAAAAATAAACAATGCTTTGGTAAAATTTTTTTTAGTTCATTCATTATTTAAAACGTTCCAAAAATGTTAAAATTTACCTATTTAAAAAATTGTAATTTTTTTAATGATTTCCCACATTTACGGTTAATAAGGCATATTCAATTATATACGATTTGTGATCTTTTGGCCATTTGATTTGTATCAAAGAAAAAACTAATTGAGCGTGAGACCTAAAAAAAATTGGCGACAAACATAAAAAAAAATACATTATAATAAAATTAATACCTTTTCAACTTCTCATCGAAGCTAAAATATTAATATTTTTAGGAAAATAGAATGTTGCATTTTTGTCTTTAAATAATTTATATTAGTTATTCTTCTAGGTTAAAATCCTGTTAAAATTCTAACACGATTTACCCTAAGGTTTAAACATTCGTTTTCCAAGTTCTAATCATTATCATATGATGTATGTATATTAGGGTGTCCCTTATTTTGAAAATTTTGGTAATTCTTCGGGCTCAACCCCCAAATTTGTGTGTATACATATAAAAAGTGGCTACAAAAAATTTCAGGCCGATCAGATAAGTTTAACCCGTGCCGACTTGGGGTTGAAAATCGGCCAAAAGGGGTATTTTTTTAGTTTTTAGCAATTAACTCGTAAATTAGCACTCTCACAAAAAAAAATATAAAAACTAAATTGTAGATCTAATTGTTTTGTATAAATTAAGTCCTTACAGTTTTTCTTTTAAATCCATTAGTTTTCTAGCAAAATGTCAAAATACATAATATTTCGTAAAATTGCCGAAATTAGCATATTTACGAATATTTTATCATATATGACGAACCATATGTGATACGACCTAATGTTTCATACAAAAATTGTTTAAAATTAAATTTTACGAAATAAAAGTATTAAGTACAAATTTCATTGAACCGATCGTTTTATTGCTATAGCTGAATTAACTCGATCATATTACGATTTTTACTAAATATATGAATTTTATTGCTTAATTTAAATATATTTCCTTTATATTGTAAAGTGAATATTAAGTGAATAATTCGTAAATATGCTAATTTCGGCAATTTTACGAAATATTATGTATTTTGACATTTTGCTAGAAAACTAATGGATTTAAAAGAAAAACTGTAAGGACTTAATTTATACAAAACAATTAGATCTACAATTTAGTTTTTATATTTTTTTTTGTGAGAGTGCTAATTTACGAGTTAATTGCTAAAAACTAAAAAAGTACCCCTTTTGGCCGATTTTCAACCCCAAGTCGGCACGGGTTAAACTTATCTGATCGGCCTGGAATTTTTTGTAGCCACTTTTTATATGTATACACATAAATTTGGGGGGTGAGCCCGAAGAATTTCCAAAATTTTCAAAATAAGGGACACCCTAATATANGCCCGAAGAATTACCAAAATTTTCAAAATAAGGGACACCCTAATGGATATACAGGCATACGTGATAAAATGTATACAGAGTGTTCAGTAAGTCAGGAAACGGATTTCTATTGTTCTCATTGTTTGTAACAATGAGAACAATAGAAATCCGTTTCNTATATACAGGCATACGTGATAAAATGTATACAGAGTGTTCAGTAAGTCAGGAAACGGGTTTCTATTGTTCTGATTGTTACAAACAATGAGAACAATAGAAATCCGTTTCCTGACTTACTGAACACCCTGTATAAAGATATTATCATACATATTTTTCTTTAAATATTAATCATTTTTTAAAGAAATTATACTACGTACTTAATTGGACCTAAAAATTTCATGTTATCTTCAGTATTGCTGAATTCTAATGATTCTTCAATTGGTGTTTTAAAACGTACTGATCGTTTTTCTGGTACTGGTTTTTTATCTGAGTTCTAAATAAAACACAACTTTTTAATAAATTTTGTGAATTCATCTAAAAATAAGCTTCTTATGTTCTAGACAATTTTATTTTATGTATAGTTTTGGTCAATCAATAGAGGATTATTCAGTAATATCTTTCTGAATTAATTTAATAGTAATTATCTATATTAATAAGCTATATATACTGCATTTTAATATGTAGATCCTAAATTTAGTGATCATATTCAAAATCTTTTATGACTGAAATAAATAATGTTCATATTTATTTTTTGACTATTTGAAGTGTAAAATAGTAGTTTAAATGAATCATTTAATGAGTGAAAATAAACTTCACCTGCTTCCTTGTTATCTTTAAAGTCTTATTATTAAATTCTTAATTGATCAAATTATAAGAATCTGTATTTTTTATAAATATTTGAATAAGAGTTCTTACTCTATAAAAATAGAAATGAAATATTCATCGCATTATTTAGATTTATTTAAAACTTACAAAAGAATATAAATTTTTTGAATTAATCATGACATAAGAATCAATGTTTGAAGCTTGATTAGAAGGTTCGTCTAATTCTATAAAACATCAATAAAATTCATATTAATGCAACTCACATTAAACAACGAAAAAAGTTATTTATTTATATTAACTAACCGACGGCTAAATCTTTTAAATGTTTTTTTTTCACAATTTTTCTGTATAACTCATCTAACGGATGTTCCCATTGAGATACTTTACTGAATTTATTATAGTAAAAATATTTTTCAGTCTTTTCAATATAACTGTAAATTATAAAAATTATTAAACAACATATACATTTAACTAGCTTATAAAATAAAAAATTATGTAATTAAGAGAAGGACTGGCCAATAACAATTTTTGATCTGTTTTTCAGAAGTTATTAAAATTTTTATCTTAAAAAATATTTTGTAGTAGATAAACGGAAATACATATATAATTAAAAAACGCTAAACAAAAATCACAAAAAATTATTATTTTATGAGAGATTAAGTTGCTAGTGTTATAATAATCGACTTGTAAAAGGGATTATAATAGCAGCATAACAAAAAATGTATATTATTTTATTAATATAAAGAAAGCACGTGTTAAGGAAGAATCCATGGAATCTGGACCCTTTTTTAACATTTTTTTCTAATTACATTATTGATATGTTATGGTAGTATTATGTGGATAAGGTGACATTTTTTCGACTTCTATGTTCTTAAGAACAAACTGAATAACAATTAATATATTTTAACATATATATTTATACATAAAAGTATGCACATACCAGGGAATCCAATCAATGGGCAATGGTTCAAGTAAACACTGTTTCGCAATGTTTAATAAATGATTATCTTTTACAGGATCTATTCCAAGTTTAATCGCTTGCTCTTCAATTTCTGTAACTCCGAGATCCGTCACATATTAGGTACTTTTTGATTAATACAGTTATAATATTAAAACAAAAATTTATTTGCCTTTATATATATTATTTATTATTACCACTTTTCGTAGGATAACTGTTTCCGTCAAATATTTCTTTACAGGCATATACTGTAAATTCAGAATGTTTCATTATTTAATTACTTTATATGATTTAAACATAACAATAGTTATAAATAAGTAATTAACGTAATAAAATGTATTTTCAACACAAATTTTATTGTGACAAGATAAAAGAAAAAACTTATATTGAATTAATAATATAGATTTTAAATAAAAATTATAGAAATTATTTGGATTAAATAAAAATGAAATAGAGTATCATAACACTTTTAAATTTATGAAATGTGTGTTCAAATGTTATGATAATGGTCACTATAGTAACACTCTGTAGTATAAAGTCTACAGGGTGTTCAGTAAGTCAGGAAACGGGTATCTATTGTTCTCATTGTTTGTAACAATGAGAACAATAGAAACCCATTTCGTGACTTACTGAACACCCTGTATACTATTTTATTAGTTTATATAAATATAAACATAATATTGTATACCGTATATTTCTAATAAGGTTAAACAATATTCTGTTTAAGTAACAATCATATAAGTAATAGATATGTCTAATCTAATTATTAATATACACGTAATAGTGACAAAATATGTTGCCTAAAAATTTTCTTTTTTATGTTTGTAATAATTTCTTGTGTTTCAACAATAATTTTAAAATAAAACATTATAAAACCAAAAAAATGTATTTAATTAATGTAGATAAACCATTTTATCCATCAACTAATTATACTTAAAAGTTTTATTCTATAATATGCAATATAGAAAATTTATCCTTTCTATAAGTATTTGTCTTATAATTTATGAAATAACGATTTTTTTGGATAAAATGTCATATTCCAATTAATAAAAATTTATTTTTTATGATAAATCAGGGCACAGATCTAAAATATCACTATAACGGTTTGCTATTATTCTGTTTATAACTTAACTTTACAATGTTAATTATTATTTTAATGGTGCCGTTACTATATTATGTATATATTTTCTAATTGGTTTAATTATTAATCATTTTTTTATAATGTTTTTAACTGTGTTTCGATAAAAAAGTCACGAAAAAAAAAATTTACAATTTTATTGGTACATGTATTATAAAGTAAGACGTTAATCGATGTATTACTTCGTAATAAAAAACTAAATTATTAATAGGTTTAGGAATTTCTAAATTTTTCATTAAATGTAATTTGTTGGATACACATCAATATGCTGTCGAGAATTTGTATTTTGATTATTTAAGCTATAATTGTGCTACACCGAGTTGTTGATTGTCGCCGCCATCTTAGAGTATTTTAGCTGTAAGCTCTATAACGCTTGCGAGACAGTAGTTTTTTGAATTTGTTTTGTTGTAAAAGTAAAATATCACCTTTGCGATTGTCACATTCTTGTGCGCTCAGTAAATCGCCGTTGAGTTAATATATTTTCTGAGATACATCACAGTACCGTTCATAGCATATTGTAAACGTTGGTCAGCTACTTGCATTCGACTTCAATTGAACCTTTCAATATTCAATTATCATCAGCCGATAAGTATGATGCTTGTTCATCCTCTTTTTAAGCTTACTCACATTTATAATTTATTATTTGTTTATATCAGCGCCATTGTGGCATTAGCATTAAGTGCTCCCTTATCCACACTGGTGTATGTAAGATTTTATGATTCATGTATAATATATTTAATTGTTATTATTAATAATGAGTCCCACTCACCTTATTCCTTTTCCTTGACATAGCCTGACTTAAGACAAAATAAAACAACGATCTTTAACGAATACCACCGGGCCCTGCGTTCATTCATAATAAGTATTTATATTAATATATATGTCAATATATACGATTAAATTATAATTTAAATCACAATATTAATTAAAAAAATAATTGTCATTACAAATATGTTATAATACTGAAAATCATAAGTCCACTAGTTCTACTAAATTTTAAAAATTTTTTTACTCATTGAGCTACTTTTATTCCGATACAAAGCTGTATTTATCTAATTATTATTAAATAAATAAAGGCTACAGAGAAAAATCGGTAATTATTCATTTATGTTAAAATAAAGATATCAATTCCAATCACTTTAACAATAAAACAAAAATAGACACATGAAATTAGAAAAATAAAAATAATGAAAGTTTTTCATCGAATAAATTTTATTACTTGATACTACTGTTAATAGGAATCGAATCAAACCATAAAATCCATATCGAAAAATAGACTTCTATTGTTTTTGATCTGTATCCTTCAAATATAGGAATAATTTCTTAATATATAAAAAATTTAAATTATCAAAATATTAATGTATTTATTGATATGAATTTTTTTAAATATAAATTAAAAAAAAAAATATTCATTGCTGGTAAATTTAATTTGTATAATTTATAACCACAATTATCATTATATCTGCTACACTACAACAACGTAGTCGACTGGTTAGAGTATAAATTTCTTATAACGTCGATTATGTTTTTTTTCTATGTAGTTGGACTTTTTTTAACTTCGATGCGAAACTGAGAAGGTATTGGTTTTACTATGATATGTTTTATTTTTTATGCCTGTTGCCACTTTTTCTCAGCTCTCACCGAACCAATTTCAACGAAACGTAAAAGATCACAATTCGTATCTAGTCGAAGACATTACCCTCACAAATTAAAAAAATTTCCCTCGTTCCCCGTAAATGGGGGAAATCTCCATAAAAATTACAAATTTAAAAAAATCTATTAGTTTTATTTGAATTAGTTGAAAAAACCCAGCACAGGGGGGTCGCGGCACAGTGGTGACGTGGTATAGATCTTGATCCATCTATACCACGTGAATGAAAGTATGAAATAAATATAAAAAAACCCAGCACAGGGGGGTCGTGGCACAGTGGTGACGTGGCATAGATGGATCAAGTATAATGATATCTGACAGTGATTAAAATCACTATCAAAAAAAAACGCTTCGATGCAAATCTTTAGATACTGTTTAATTTTAAAATATTGGTGGACTATTCCAAAAACTACATGATCTGCTAGTTCATTATTAATATCCTAATTAAGATAAAGTATGTAGAATGAAAAAGGGATTATTAAAAAATATTATTTCTCATAAAAAAATAATGTTGATCCATACACTTTTCAATATGTCATAGCATTATAAAGTTAAAAAT